ATGTCTGTGTGTGTCTGTGTGTGTCTCTGTGTGTGTGTCTGTGTGTGTGTTTCTCTGTGTGTCTCTGTGTGTCTGTGTGTCTGTGTGTGTGTCTCTGTGTGTGTGTGTCCGTGTGTGTCTCTGTGTATGTGTGTCTGTGTGTGTGTCTGTGTGTCTGTGTGTCTGTGTGTGTCTCTGTGTGTGTCTCTGTGTCTGTGTGTGTGTGTCTGTGTGTGTGTCTGTGTGTCTGTGTGTCTCTGTGTGTGTGTCTCTGTGTGTGTGTCTCTGTGTGTGTGTCTCTCTGTGTGTGTTTCTCTGTGTGTCTCTGTGTGTCTGTGTGTCTGTGTTTGTCTCTGTGTGTGTGTGTGTCCGTGTGTGTCTCTGTGTGTCTGTGTGTGTCTGTGTCTGTGTGTGTGTCTCTGTGTGTGTCTGTCTGTGTCTCTGTGTGTCTCTGTGTGTCTCTGTGTCTGTGTGTGTGTCTGTGTGTGTGTGTGTGTCTGGGTGTGTGTGTCTGTGTGTCTCTGTGTGTGTGTGTCTGTGTGTCTGTGTGTGTCTGTGTGTGTGTCTCTGTGTGTCTCTGTGTGTCTCTGTGTCTGTGTGTGTGTCTGTGTGTGTGTGTGTGTCTGGGTGTGTGTGTCTGTGTGTCTCTGTGTGTGTGTGTCTGTGTGTCTGTGTGTGTCTGTGTGTGTGTCTCTGTGTGTCTCTGTGTGTCTCTGTGTCTGTGTGTGTGTCTGTGTGTGTGTGTGTGTGTGTGTCTCTGTGTGTGTGTCTGTGTGTGTGTTTCTCTGTGTGTCTCTGTGTGTCTGTGTCTGTGTGTGTGTCTCTGTGTGTGTCCGTGTGTGTCTCTGTGTGTCTCTGTGTGTCTCTGTGTCTGTGTGTGTGTGTCTGTGTGTGTGTGTGTGTCCGTGTGTCTCTGTGTGTGTCTGTGTGTGTCTCTGTGTGTGTCTCTGTGTCTCTGTGTGTGTGTCTGTGTGTGTGTATGTCTGTGTGTCTCTGTGTGTCTGTGTCTGTGTGTGTGTCTCTGTGTGTGTGTGTGTCCGTGTGTGTCTCTGTGTGTCTCTGTGTGTCTCTGTGTGTGTCTCTGTGTCTGTGTGTGTGTGTCTCTGTGTGTGTGTGTGTCTGTGTGTCTCTCTGTGTGTCTCTGTGTGTCTCTGTGTGTGTCTCTGTGTCTGTGTCTGTGTGTCTGTGTGTGTGTGTCTGTGTGTGTCTCTGTGTGTGTCTCTGTGTGTCTGTGTGTCTGTGTGTGTGTCTCTGTGTGTGTGTGTCCGTGTGTGTCTCTATGTGTGTGTCTGTGTGTGTCTCTGTGTGTGTCTCTGTGTCTGTGTCTGTGTGTCTGTGTGTGTGTGTCTGTGTGTGTGTGTGTGTAGGGGTGGTCCCTCCCACAAACACCCTAGTGCGTGCGCACGCACACACACACACACACAGAATCTGACAAGTACAAGGTGTGCACACTTACCTGTTTTCTGGGTGCCTGTTTTCTCTAAGGACCCAGAACCTCACATCAAATTGTCTGCAGAGACCCTGCAGCCCCCAGCCATCCCCAGCCCATGAAAGCACCCCAGGGTGGGAGAAGGCAGGCGAGTCCCGGAGCCCAGGCAGCCAGCATCCCTTCCCTGGCAGCCCTTCCACACTCCAAGTCACCAGCCAAGCCAGGCTCGTCACCAAACCCTTCAGGAGGACGGCTGCTGCCTGCAGGGGCGTCATGCCCAGGGGGCCACAGTCCTCTTGGAGTGGCCACCAGGGACCCAGTACCAGTCTTCAGGACACAGCGAGTGAGGCGACACTCCCCTGGTATGTAGGGGAAGGGCTGACCACAGCACTGGAGGCTTGGAGCAGGGCATACTGCTCCTACCCCTGCCCGCCCATCTCCTCTTGCCCCACCTGCGTGTTACCAAGACAAAGAAGCCGGTGAGCAGCATCTGGCATTTGGCAATCTTTACTCGCCTCCAGTGCCCCATGGTGCACCTCTCCTCTTCCTTTTCATCCCCTCCCCGTCCTTTCCATCCCTTCCCCTCTCTTCTGTGGTTTCCCACTGGGTGGGGACCTCAGACCTCAGCGGACCCAGTAGGTTGGCTACAACAGCTCCTACAAGTGAGCAGCTGGGTGCCCCAGAAGGGCAGGCAGGAAGGGGAAGGGCAGCTCCTACACAGGCTGTTGCCCCAGTCAGACCCCAGACGTCTGGGTCTGGTAGCTGTCTGAGGCCTCCTGGTGGGTTGGTGGATGGGTGGGGCCACGCTGCACCCAGGGGAGAGTGTGGAGCCTTAGGGCGGGGCGGGAGGAAGAGGGCCACGCCCTAGGACACCTTCTTGAGGGCAGTCCTGGCAGGACTTTGGGAGACGGGGTCTAAGGCAAACACCAATGGGCCCTAGGAAGTCAGGCATGGTGGCACATGCTCATAATACCATCACTGGGAGGCAGAGGCAGGAGGGCTGCAGGAAGTTGGAGGCCAGGCCAAGATATATAGTGAGACCCTGTCTCAAAAATAATTAGGGTTGGGGAGATGGTTCAGTTGGTAAAGTGCTTGCCGTGCAAGTCTAAAGACCTGAGGTCGGGTCCTCAGCACTATGGGAAGGAGAGCTGGGCTTGGTGTGTGGGAGTCATCCCAGGCTGAGACAGGAGCATCTCTGGGGCTCCCAGGCCAGTCAATCTAACCTACTTGGTGAGTTCTAGGCTAGTAAGACACCCTGTCATGAAAAACCATGTGGACTGCTCCTGAGAAACCATATCTGAGGTTGTCTTCTGACCTCCACATGCACACATGTGTACCCAGAGAGGAAAACACACACACACACACACACACACACACACACACACACACACACACACACACACACACACACACACACACACACACACACACACACACAAAGAAACTAACAGTATTTAAACGCTCTGTCAGCCATGTTTTGAAAGAGAACAGGTATTCCCTTCCTTCGTTTGTGAATGAGCACATCAGAACAACAATCTTGGGGCCCCACAGGAAGGCCTGAGCCTCTCACACCCACAGGTCTCCTTTACTAAAACGCACACCTGTAATCATACAGAATGATATAAGCCACGGACCCGGGCAGGGTAACAAGCTCAAACACATACGGGCCATGCTAAGCAAGCCTTTGGAGACCAAGGTGAATGTGGCCATGGAGGGAGTGCCCTCTGTACAAGCAGTCTGCTCAGGTCTGAGCCAGTTGAAACGCTGAGGCCACTCCAGGGCAGGGGGCATGCTGACCCCTGGTAGAGCATGTGTGCTTAGCTCCCCTTCCTCATCCTATAATGTGGGTCCTCTTAGACTGAGGGCATCTTGGTAAGGAAAGCAGATAGCCCTGGACCTTCCAGAAGCCTGTGGAACAGGGCTCTGTGTGGCCACCAGTGCTAGCCCAGGTGGTTACCACTCAGGAAGGCTGATGCTGGTGACCTTTGCTTCAGCTCCCTCTTTCTTCTCTCTGCCCGAGGGGCACTCACAGAGCTCCAAGTGGCCCCTCTACAGCTCCAATTTCCCAGAGTCACCTTCCTGAGATGGAATGCCGGGTGTCCTGTGCCTGCTGTCTCTCATTGTGAAGTCCTGGGTCCAGGCCGTGTGGGGGCCATCTGGGGTGCAGCCTAGCCCAGGTATGTATCAGCTTGGGTGCAGCCCGGTCAGGACCTCAGGAGTGAGTGAGCATCCAGTACACTGGATCATTGGCAGTGGAGCCCGCCGCTGCTTGCCTACAGCCTGGCCCGGCTCACTCCTGACGGCCTTTCTCCTCCTGCATGAAGGGAAGAGCCAGGCCACCTCCAGGGCCTGCTGTGGGCTGTGCACCACCCAGCACCCACTCCCGATGCCTCTGGGCCCAATGGGAAGACTTTAAGAGTGGAGCCAGGTCCTTCTTAAAGGTGGCCCCAGTGTGTCCTCTCAAAGTGGTGAGCCCTCCAGCATGAAGTCTGACCACCTTCTCTTCCCCGTGGCCACCAGCGGGGCCAGGGAACCATGCGTTGCATGGCGACACAGACCGTGGAAAGCTGTGCTTCCGTCTTCCCTGAGGTGTCTCTGCAGGAGGAAGTGGTCTGCCAGGGGACTCTTCAGTCCCACCCACCACCTGCCTCAGGGTGATGTCCACCACCCTGGGGGTGGCCCACTCCTTGCAGGTTGCCCACTCTGGCCCTTCCATAGCCCCTGTCCTGAGGCCAGGCTTATTGCTGGTCAGTTGTCCTACCTCGTCCAGATCTATGAGATACTGGGCTTCTCTGTATGTGTGTTTGTATCTGTGCATGTCTCTGCCTGTGTGTGTATGTGTTGTGTATGTGCTGTGTATGTGTGCATGTTGTAAAAATCATTAAATATCAGTTCTTTCTGTCAAACACAGTAAAACTTTGGTTTAAGGTAAAGAATTCAAGTTTTTTAACCCCCTCCTGGACACCCTGTAAAACCTTTGTTTATACAAAAGCCCTGGGGCATTCCCTGAACCTGATGGCCTGGGGCATCTGAGTCCTTTCCCTTTCCTCTCCATTTCCTTTGTGCTGATTCTTTTAAGTCTAGCCAGCTGGAAAAGACCATGAAGAGAGGTCCAACCCCAGAATGACAGATGCAACGCAGGCTTTTTGCAAAAATGGAAATTGCCTTGATGGGCTACTGCTTTGTCTGAGTGGTTTTTGTGTGGTATCAGTGAAGGTCATGGACCTCAGATTTTCTAACAATGTTTTCATGTGTGTATGTATGTGTGCATGTATGTATTGTGCATATGTGTGTGCATGTGTATATTTATGCATGTATATGCATCTATCTGAATGTATATCTATGTGTGTATATGTGTATGCATGAGTGTGTATATATGTATATGTGTGTATATCTGCATGTGTGTGTATATCTGTGTGTATGTGCATGTGTATATGTATGTCTATCTCTCTGTGTATCTATGTATATGTGTGTTTGTGTGTGTCTGTGAGTGTTCTAGTTTCTCTATTGCTGTGACAAAACACTCTGACCAATACCAACTTGGGGAGGAAAGGGTTTATTTATCTTACATCTCACAGTTCATCAGGGAGCCCAAGGTAGGAATTCAGGGCAGGAACCTGGAGTGGAGCACAGGCCATGGAGGAACGCTGCTTACTGGCTTGCTCCCTGGGCCCTGCCCAGCCTGCTTTCTTATACAACACAGGTGCCCAGGGGTGGCACCACCCACAGTGGGCTGGGCCCTCCCACGTCACTCAATAATCAAGAAGGTGCCCCATGGACATGGCCACAGGCCAGTCCAATGAAGGAAATTCCCCAATTGACTCCCCAGGTGTCTGGAGTTTGTGTCAGGTTAACAATAACAAACCATCACAATTGACCCCTTGTCAACATGATACACAAACACATCACTATTAAACCATAAGCTTTCCAATTTTTATCCCCAAGATATGATGTTAACATTAATATCACAACATAAGACAGTACAACCTTAAAAGCCCCACAGTTCTTTTTTAAAATTTTATTATTTTTTATGCGTATATGTGTATTGCTTGTATGTAGGTAAGTGCACCCGTGTTGTGCAATGCCCTAGAAGGACAGAAGAGGCTGTCAGATCCCCTGGGACTGGAGTTAGGACAGTTGTTAGCTGACATGTGGGTGCTGGGACTCGAACCCAGGTTCGAATCTTGCTTCTGCAAGAGCAACCAGTGTTCTTAACTGCTGAGCCATCTCTCCAGCCCAAAGTCCCACAGTTCTTAAAAAATCCAAACACCTGAAAGTCAAGTCTCTTTTAAAAGTCTCTTAACTGGGGGCACCTGTAAAATACAAAACAAGTACTGTCTTATTTCAAAGGGAAGAATCAGGCACACCTAAGCAAAACCAAAGTCTAGCAAAGTAGCTCGAGGCTGGACATCTGGGATTCACTCACAGTCTTCTGGACTCCAAAGGGTACTGGCAGCTCCATTGCTCTGACTCTGCAGTCCACAGAACACTCAGCGGTCCACAGCACACTCAGCTCGTCTCGCAGACCTAGGCCAGCTCCATTCCACACCTGCCACTGTCCTTGGTGGTTGTCCCATGGTCCCGGCATCTCCAAAAATCTGGGGTCTCCATTGAAACCGAGGCTACACCTTCACCAATGGCCTCTTCTGGTCTTTCGGGGTGCAAAGCCTCAGATTCTCTCCATGACCCCTTCAATCCTGGGGAAAGCCTCAGATTCTCTCCATGACCCCTTCAATCCTGGGTTTTTTGCTGCAACTGAAGCGGCACTTTCACCTATGGCCTTTCCTCGCCTCTCAGAGTGCCAAGCCTCAGCTGCTCCCCCTTCATGCTTTCAACACCAGAACCATGTAGGAAACTCTTACACATTACCAAGTCCTGCTTCTAGCTTGAGATGGAGGCTCAGGTCCCCCCTGTACCATAGCTTCTGTGTGCTGACCCCAAGGAAATACCTCCCAGATTTCACCACACTGATGCTGCTCTCGTTACTTACAGCTGATTTTCAGCCCCAGCTAATCAGCATTAATTGTCCCAGTAAAGCAAAGGTTTTACTTCAGGTTCTGGTCTCTTCTTAATCACAGCTGATTCTTCAGCCCCAGCCGACCAGAACCCACAGATTCTCAATCCAAAATCTCACACGAACAGCCCTGATAGTCTCCGTTTCCCTTCGAAGCTTCACAAGCCAGGCCCCCATTGTCCAAAACTCAGCATAACTGTTCCAAGCTCCACAACAACAAACTAAGTCCTCAATGGCTTTTCCAGCCCAAAGTTCCAAACACTTCCACAGTCCTAAGAACACCAATGTCAGGTCTGTCACAGGAATACCCCACTCTTGGTATCAATTTCTGTTAGCTTGTTTCTCCATCACTATGATAAAGCACTCTGACCAACTTGGGGAGGAAAGGGTTTATTTGTCTTACATCTCCCAGGTCACAGTTCATCAGGGAGCCCACGAGAGAAACTCAGGGCAGGAACCTGGAGGCAGGAGCTGGAGCACAGGCCATGGAGGAACGCTGCTTACTGGCTTGTTCA